GCGTTTAAATACAATTCTATAATAAACCAATGAAGGGGAAAGAAATCTGTTGCATTCTGTGACAATGCGTCCATAATGACGTTTTGTAACTGGAGATTCTAAATAGAAATCAGTGGTGATGTGTCTGTGTGATGAATGAATTGTGGTCTGGTGGGTGGTGTAATTAGCCGTTGATGACATTGCTTATTAGGTAACAGAAACCACTTGCAGTTCTGAATGGTTGGGACCATCTGGGAATTGCCCCAGCAGGGGTCTGCATACGGCAAAGAATTTCTCCTTTCCTCAGTCTGAAAGGCGGCTGAATTATTTTCCAAGTATCATTTGCTAGCAGGGATTCTGTGAGTATTAAATTATAACACAGTGCTTTGTGTGTGTACTGCATATTATTTCTGCATTCGTGCCAGTCAGACCAGCTAAGTATTTAACTGTTTTAGAGGACGGAATGCGCAGTGATCAGTGGCGGTTTAGTAAAATGTTAAAATAATTGGTGGCTTTATATTAGTTTGAAACATCAAAGGGTCAATGATGTCTGAATATTACTGACGTTTTAAAGAAATAGCATCCCAGAGGTTTATATGTTGGTTTGATGACACTTATTGCCTTGAAGAAGTCCTGTGTTTAACCCCTTAACGACGAGTGACGGACGAGGTCCGTCACTCAGGGGATTGCCATAACGACGAGTGACGGACCTTGTCCGTCACCCGTTAAAATTAACCCCGGATCGCCGCAATCGCAGGGTTAATGGTGCTCCGATCTGCCTCTGTATTAGAGACAGACCGGGAGCACCCGATCTGGCTGGCCCAGCATATGTGCTTGCTCTGACAGCATGTCAGAGGGAGCACATGTGCTGCATATACTCACCTTCCGCCTCCCGGCACTTCCTGGTTCTGTGTGAAGTGCAGGGAGCCAGAACAGTGCTGATCCTGCCCCCTGTTAAAAAATAAAAACAAAGTTTATTTAAAATCCCACCCCCCTTTACTAATTTTAATTAAAAATTAACCCCTTCCCTGCCAAGTGTTCACTGAGTACAGTGATTAATTGGCAGGGATTACATTTTACTGTCATCAGATTTTTTTTAACCCCTGAGAGTTAATTCATTTTTTTAACCCTCAGGGGTTAAATTTATTTAATTAATTTAAATATTTTAAAACTATATATTTAGCTTGCTGGGGTGGGTGGAAGTTAGTGGGGAATTGGGGGGATTTGGTGTTAGGCTAACTAGGGGTTAACGTTAAAAAAAGCTTTAAAATAAACTTTAAAAAGTTAAAAATTAAGCTAAAAAAAGTTTTAATAATGTTTAAGTAAAAATACCCCCCCTTTACCCAGTCCAAATAAATATTAACCCCTTCCCTGCCAGTCGATCACTGCCTACAGTGATCAAAATACAGATCACAGTATTATACTGTGATCTAACTTTTTTAACCCCTGAGGATTAACTTTTATTTATTTTTTAACCCTCAGGGGTTGAATTTATTTAACTATTTTAAATATTTTATAATTATATATTTTGCTAGCTGGGGTGGGTGGGAGTTATGGGAAAATGGGGAATTTACTGTTAGTGCTGCTTACAGCTAGTTAGGGGTTAACGGTAAAAAAAAGCTTAGAAAAATGTTAAATCTCTAAAAAAAGTTTTAAGAAAGTTTAGGAAAGTTTAAAAAAAAATTAATAAGCAAAACAAAAGTTTAAAAACTAGTTTTTAAAAGTAAAAAACATTTCAAAAAGTAAAAAAATACATTTTAAAAACGCTCATTACCAATACACCTGGAACAAACTAGAGAAAAAATGATCCCACGCCAAGGTTCAAAATATGCCTTTTGAATTACCCCAGGGTGTATTCTTTAATAAATAGTATGTGTTTGTGGGGAAGTTTCAATAACCAACCGCCTAAACTACTCCAAATTGGAACATGGACACAGCGTAAAACTTCAAAGTTAGAAAAAAACTGAATGGCTGCGTCTCAAATGCGCCCCTTCAACATCCACATATACCTGGCAAAGGTACATACGGGGGTATTGCTGTACTCAGCAGACATAGCTGAGCAACATATGAAGTATTACAGTCATAGCACACATAACGTTTAAAAAATATACTGCACAAACTCACTTTGTGTGTCAAAAAGGCAGAAAAATGCTTATTACCACTACACTTGGTACAAGCTAGCGGAAAAATTATCCCACGCTAAGGTTCAAAATATGCCTTTTGATTTGCCCTGGGATGTCTTCTTTAAGAAATGGTATGGCTTTATGTGGTAATTAGATTTTATAGCCTGGTAAAATACTCTAAAATGGGACATGGACACAGCATAAAAATTCAAAGTTTGAAAAAAAAATTGGAATGGCTGTGTCTCAAATGTGCCCCTTCAACATCCACATATACCTGGCAAAGGTACACACGGGGGTATTGCTGTACTCAGCCGACATAGCTGAGCAACATATATAGTAGTATACAGTTGTAGTACACACAAAGTTTACAAAATATACTGCGCAAATTCGCTTTGTGTGTCAAAAGGCAGAAAAAAATGCTTATTACCACTACACTTCGTACAAGCTAGCGGAAAAATGATCCCACGCTAAGGTTCAAAATATACCTTTTGAAATACCCTGGGGTGTCTACTTTAAGAAATGGCAGGCCTTTGTGGGGTAGATTGAATTTAAACCCTGCTAAGATGCTTGGAAATTGCACATAGGCCCAGCGTCAAAATTCAAAGTTCGGTAAAAACTGATATGGCTTGGTCTCCTATATGGCACTGTAGCTTCACGAAATAGTGCCAAAGACATACAATGGGGGTGTCATTTTACTCAGAAAACCTAGCTGAGCATACTTTGGGGGTTTGAACATAGTGGCACATGTGAAATATACAAAATGCCTAGCAAAAATGCAATCCGTATGTAAAAAAACACACAAAATTATTTTTTACCACATACTTTGGCATATATTGGTGAAAAAATGGTGGCATGTTAAGGCACAATATGCACCTTATGAGATACCCTGGAGTGTCTACCTTTACAAATGGTAGGCCTTTGTGGCATTTTTTGAACAGTCAAACTGTTATAATACCCCAAATGGAAGCTAAGGCTCATTAAATTCATCTCTCAAAATTCTACTGTGAATACTGAAAAGGACAGGTATCCTATATGGCACTGTAACTTCACGAAATAGTGCTAAAGACATACAATGGGGGTGTCATTTTACTCAGCAGATGTAACTGAACACAAAATAAAACTTTGGACAGGAATAGCACACACCAACTTTACAAAATACACATAAAACCCCCCCACAATTTTACTCCAATATTTAGCAGAGGTTGGCGGTGAAATGGCTATGTAGAAAGTGTCAAAACAACCTTAGGTAAACAGCCTGTGATGTCTACTTTATATAAAAATATACTTTTGTGTGGCAATTTTGTTTTCTTTTATGGCTATTAAGCTTACAAGACAAACATACCAAATTCTAAAATCGCTCCACATTAAAAATTTATTTTACTCCTTGTTCTTTGTAACCTGTAACTACCAAAAAAAACTTAAAATCCCAGACACATTATATATTCTGTAAATCAGAACAACTAAATTAAATTATTTTGATTTACTTTTCTTAACCTGCACTAATTAGGCACACATTATTATTGCAAAAACTGTAAAAAAAAAAAACACAAAATTTTAATTTTTTTACATTTTTCTGTATTTTTTTTAATAATAAATAAGCATTTATATATATGTGTGTTACATCAAATTAAAGCCCTTTCTGTCCTTTAAAAAACGATGTATAATATGTGTTGGTGCAACAAATTAGTAAAATGCAAATTGCAGTTGAACACAAACAGCAAAAAATGAAAAAAATGCTGTTGTCATTAAGTGAAAGACAAGCTTCTGAAGCTCTGTCCTTATGGGGTTAAGAGAGAGGCGGGCAGAGCAATAAGGGGAAAACGAGAAAAAAATGAGTCATTTTGAAATCAAAGCTGTATTGTGATTGGCTAGCTGGTGCAAGGAATTTAAAATAATGGAGAGTGAAACGCTAACATACAAAGGGGTTTAATGATAGGCATAGAGATGTAACAATAACAACATACATACTGGCTTATTCATCATCATTATTATTATTATTATTATTATTATTATGGTATTTATAGAGCGCCGTCAAATTCTGCAGCGCTTTACAATGGGTGGACAAACAGACATGTAGTTACATAGTTACATAGTTACATAGCTGAAAAGAGACTTGCATCCATCAAGTTCAGCCTTCCTCACAAATGTTGTTGCTGTTGATCCAAAAGAAGGCAAAAAAACCCAGTCTGTAGCGCTTCCAATTTTGCCACAAACTAGGAAAAAATTCCTTCTTGACCCTAAAATAGCAGTCAGATGTCTCCTTGGATCAAGCAGCTATTACCCTACTAATTATAAATTATATCCCTGTATGTTATGTTTTTGTAAGTATTTATCCAATTTCAATTTAAACATCTGTATGGACTCTGATAAAACCACCTCTTCAGGCAGAGAATTCCAAATCCTTATTGTTCTTACTGTAAAAAAACTTTTCTTTGCCTTAGATAAAATCTCCTTTCTTCCAGCCTAAATGTGTGACCTTGTGTCCTATGTATAGCCCTGTTTATGAATAGATTTCCAGATAAAGGTTTGTACTAGCCCCGAATATATTTGTATAAAGTTATCATATCCCCTCTCAGGCGCCGTTTTTCCAAACTAAACATATTTCATTTTTTTAACCTTTCTTCATAACTAAAATGCTCCATTCCTTTTATCAATTTTGTAGCTCGTCTCTGGACCCTCTCCAGTGCCATGATATCCTTCTTTAGAACAGGTGCCCAAAATTTCACAGCATATTCAAGGTGTGGTATTTTCATCCCGAGAATTTATGCCCCTATTTATACATGACAAAACCTTACTGGCCTTAGCAACTGCAGATTGACATTTCATATTGCTGCCTAATTTGTTGTCTATAACAATTCCCAAATCCTTCTCGTGTGTGGTTATCCCTAATTCACTACCATTTAGGGTGTAAGTTACTTGTGCATTCTTAACCCCGAAGTGCATAACTTTGCATTTCTCTACGTTAAATTTAATCTGCCATTTTAGTGCCCAGTCCCCCAATCTATCCAAATCTCTCTGCAGCAAAGCAATATCCTGCTCACATTTTATTACTTTACAAAGATTTGTGTCATCTGCAAACACTGAAACATGGCTTTCAATGCCTATTTTAAGATCATTTATAAATATGTTAAATAGAAGTGGTCCCAAAACAGAACCCTGAGGGACACCACTTACCACTTTTGTCCAGCCTGGGAAGTGAGTTCCACAGGAACGGTTCAGCCCTCGAGAAATCTTGAAGGCGAGCATCAGAGGTGGGAGTACAGACAGAAGATAGACGTAAGTCTTCAGCAGATCGTAAGGGCCTAGACGGGACATACATGTGTATTAGGGAGGACAGATAGGTGGGAGCAGCATTATGTAGAGATCTGAAAGCAAGAACCAGAATTTTAAATTGAACTCTATATATTTTATAGGAAGCCAATGTAGGGACTGACTGAAGGGTGAGACATGGGAGGTGCGGGCGGACAGGAAGATGAGCCTCGCCACCGCATTCATTATGGACTGTAACGGCCCAAGTTGGGAGCACGTAAGACCACTGAGAAGCGGATTACAGTAGTCAAGGCGAGAAAGGACAGTGGAATGGACCAACACCTTAGTCGCATCTGGCATTGAGTACCATGTATTCATTGCATTTGGGGGGATTTAGTGAAACTTAAAATATACAGAACAAGTTCACGTTAACATTACTGATATGGAATCTAATCCAGGGTGAATGACATAGAATAGAAATAACACAGTCATTAATAAGCAGATTGAAAACGCTAGCAGCGAATGTGGAGTCTGTAACGGCAGACAGGGTGTAAGCTGATCCGGAGTGTATAGAACACGGCAGACAGCTATTATAGCACGCATTCTGCTGGAAATACAATGTTATACTTTAAGTAGGATGGCATGTCTTCCTGGAACAAAGCATTCATATCTCACGGCTCCGTCTGAACAAAGGACTCCATGAATTGGCATCACAATGTGAGATACAAACACCTGGGCAGCCAGGCATGAGGGAACCTAGCCAAGCGGAAATGGGAAAACTATTAGGAAACCCCTACAGAGAGTGGGGGGAGGGAGATTAACCCGAATACACCCCACATTCATCCCAGCATAGAGCAACATATAGACACAATGTGACCCACAGGGACTTGTTTAATGGGTTAAAGGGACAGTCCCAGGTAGGAGCACAGTGACCTAATGACAGTGACATGTTTATTGGGATAAAGGGACAGTCCCATGTAGGAGCAAAGTGACCTAATGACAGTGACATGTTTAATGGGTTAAAGGGACAGTCCCATGTAGGAGCAAAGTGACCTAATGACAGTGACATGTTTATTGGGATAAAGGGACCTAATGACAGTGACATGTTTAATGGGTTAAAGGGACAGTCCCATGTAGGAGCACAGTGACCTAATGACAGTGACATGTTTAATGGGTTAAAGGGACAGTCCCAGGTAGGAGCAAAGTGACCTAATGACAGTGACATGTTTAATGGGTTAAAGGGACAGTCCCATGTAGGAACAAAGTGACCTAATGACAGTGACATGTTTATTGGGATAAAGGGACCTAATGACAGTGACATGTTTAATGGGTTAAAGGGACAGTCCCATGTAGGAGCACAGTGACCTAATGACAGTGACATGTTTAATGGGTTAAAGGGACAGTCCCATGTAGGAGCAAAGTGACCTAATGACAGTGACATGTTTAATGGGTTAAAGGGACAGTCCCATGTAGGAACAAAGTGACCTAATGACAGTGACATGTTTCATGGGTTAAAGGGACCTAATGACAGTGACATGTTTAATGGGTTAAAGGGACAGTCCCATGTTGGAACAAAGTGACCTAATGACAGGGACATGTTTAATGGGTTAAAGGGACAGTCCCATGTAGGAGCAAAGGGACCTAATGACAGCGACATGTTTAATGGGTTAAAGGGACAGTCCCATGTAGGAGCAAAGGGACCTAATGACAGCGATATGTTTAATGGATTAAAGGGACAGTCCCATGTAGGAACAAAGTGACCTAATGACAGTGACATGTTTAATGGGTTAAAGGGACAGTCCCATGTAGGAGCAAAGTGACCTAATGACAGTGACATGTTTAATGGGTTAAAGGGACCTAATGACAGCGACATGTTTAATGGGTTAAAGGGACAGTCCCATGTAGGAGCAAAGTGATCTAATGTCAGCAACATGTTTAAAGGGTTAAATAAATCTACAAAATGTATTTATTATATTTAGATCAGGGGTAGTCAACCTTTTAATACCTACTGCCCACTTTTGTATCTTTGTTGATGGTAAAATTTCCTTACTGCCCACCACTGCCGCAGTAACTAATTTTGTAGTGCAAGTATGATTTTTTTTTAATTTTTTTTTTAGAAAGGAGAAATATGTACTTAAATTTATCTATTTTCTATTTACTATTCCACTTTTTTTTCTATATGTGTATGTTTGAAGGGTGTAGTGTGTGTGTTTGTTAGGGTTGCTGTGTGTGTGTGTCAGGGGTGCAGTGTGAGAGGAGTGCAGTGTGTGTGTAAGGGGGCATTCTGTGTGTGAGAGGGGTGTAGTTTGTGATGGGACAGTCTGTGTGTGTGTGTGTGTCTGTGTGTGAGGGGTGTAGTGTGGTTTTGTTTGTTTGTGAAGGGTGCATAGGGTCTATGCTGTGTGTAGGTGGGTGAGATGTGAAAATCTATCTCATCGTCTCCCCCTCCTTTCTTCTTACCTATTATCAGCAAGGTGGTCCAGTGGTGGCATGTTCACTTTGGCCGGCTGCTCCTCTGGCTGTGGGCGGACTCTCCTGTCCTTCTGCAAGCACAGCACTGTATTGGAACGTTGCCATGGTAACGTATGGCAACGATCTGATCAGGCTGCTCGCGGGAGGAACACAGAGGCTCCTAGGCCCTTCCCTCCCTCTGCTGGAACTAAGTGCCAGCGGGCCAGTGTGGAACATTTTTGATCTCATCACCAGCCCAAGAGGGCTTTCAGCAAGACTGGCTCTGAATGGGCCGGCACAGGAGATGAAAGAAACTAGGCCCACCGAGAGTTTTCTACAGAATCCACCACCGCCCACCTGAAATCCCAAACCGCCCACTAGTGGGCTGTAGGGACCAGGTTGACTACCCATGATTTAGATGAACCAAAGCTGGTTCATGGTCTTTTAAGTTTATTTATTTATAAAATATTTTACCAGGAAAGATACATTGAGATTTATCTCATTTTCAAGTATGTCCTGGGTCCACAAAACATTGCATTGATACATTAGGGTACAATAAAATACAAAAACAATATTAATACACAATATATACAAAATTTAACCTAGAACAGGTAGGAAATATATAATCAACCATGACACGTGCATTCTGTTTTGAGGTATGTAGAGAGGGATCTCGTAAAGGACTCTAGGCTTGGGGAAGATTTGAAAGTGTGCGGGAGGTCGTTCCATAATTGCGGTGTTCTGTAGGAGAAGGAGGATTGGGCCGCTTTCTTTTTGTATTGAGGTAGCCTAAATAAAGTGCTGGTACTGGATCGGAGGTTATAGGAAGTGGGAAAAGCCGGGGAGAGCATTCTGCTCAGGTAGGGTGGAAGCTTCCCAGAAAAGCTTGTAAAGGGACACTATAGTCACCAGAACAACTATAGCTTGATGTATTTGTTCTGGTGAGTATAATCATTGCCTTCAGGCATTTTACATTGCCTCTAGGGACACCTCCAAGTGGCCACTCCTTGCATGGCCACTGGAGATGCTTCCTAGGTCAGTGCTGCTGAAAAAGTATCCCTGACCATCAGCATCCCCATGCTCTGCATTTGATTGGCTAAAAATTGGCCATTTTGATGATGTCTGAAAGTTGGTGCAGCCAGCGCCTGTGTACCCGCGCAGCGCTGGCAATAAGGTGAGTTTTAAACTTTTATAGGGGGCTAAGAGAGGGCAAGGCACCTAAATGGTGGGTTAAACACTATAGGGTCAGGAATACATGTTTGTGTTCCTGACCCTTTAGTGATCCTTTAAGTTGAGGAACAAATTATAAGTATTTATTTGGCTTTTATAACCTGTTTTAAAATATATTCCAAACACAAAATTGTGGATAATTTCTGTCTAAAGTCTAATAATAATAAATAAATAAAACCCCTACATCTAGATTAACGGTATGAAAGGAATATAAAACACATGTCACCATTAAGGCCTATACGAGGGTGATAGTCTGGGGTTACTGTATCTCTCATTCAGGGTAGATCTGCCAGGAGATTTTCCGTTACTTTACCGCGTGTCAAACACAAGTTACAATTCATTTGGGACCTGAGTTGCAACACATCACGAAGATTTAATTTTTCTGTGCTGATATTTAGCCAATCTTGGCTTAGATGTTTGTGCGAATGTCACAATGCCCATGATTTTACTTGAGCACATTTCTCAGATCAGCTTTTCTTATAAAACGCAAGCAAGCTCTCCACTTCATGTTGACAAAAGGTGAGTAAAGTTAGTGTATATCCCAGATCTCATGTTCTCATGATGTTTTCCTGTAAGTGCGCCCCCAAGCCAGTGTGCAGTAGGTATGCAGAAACCATCTCCCATGATGTGGATGACATCGAATATGAACTCCACACCCTAATATCCACAATGCTCTGAAAGTGCTCAAATAGCAAAATCCATGGATTTCTCATGGTTAAGGCATGGACATCGCACTGCTCATGAAATTTCATCTAAATTGCATTTTGTGTGAATAATTTAGTTGCGAACCCAAATAGCGATTCCATATCCGTGATACTGCCGCATGGAATTTGAAAAGCATTAAAAATACACATTCAACGGAAATTGTTGATAAATCCAAGTGAAGTGTTAGGTTTGCTGTGTTGGGTGTAAAGATGACACATTTATTGGCTAAATGATGTGTGTTACACTGTAAGATATTATCAGTGCTTCAGCAATACCTGAGAGACCTACAGTATGTGATCTTGAGAGCTTGCACTCTAATCCCATTGATTTAGCCACGAATGGTCTGATTGACATCATGAATACTTTATAAATGCACTATATAATCTGCAGTCTTGAAAGCACAATGGATCTCAATGTAACCTTAAAACGCTAAGTGGAATGCATTGAAGTTTATATTTTCTACTAATTACACATCCAAGATTATTTCCATTTCTACAGCGAATGTATAGGTAGAAGCTCTTTGCTGGTGATGCTCTCAGTAAAAGGAATAA